TTATGAGGTAACTTGAATACATTCTAATAGTTTATCTAGGCTTTTACCGCAAAGTAAACTTATCTCCATCCTATCCTCTCTCTGAATGTGTGTTTTTTCTTGCCGAAGGCACCAATGATGTAGAAACATCAGTTGAACATTAGCAGTATGAAGGCTTTGTCTTAAGCTCTATTTTTACATTATTTATTTTTTACTATAGTATAGTCACTTACAATGTGCCAATTTCTGGTGTACAGCACGATGTCCGAGTCATACATATACATACATATATTTGTTTTCATATTTTTTCATTAAAGGTTATTACAAGGTATTGAACATAGTTCCCTGTGCTTTACAGAAGAAACTTTTTGAAAAATCTACTTTTACATGTAGTGGCTAACATTTGTATATCTCACACTCCCGAATTTATCTCTTCCCACAACTTCCCCAGGTAACCATATGATTGTTTACTATGTCTGCGAGTCTGTTTCTTTTTTATAGATGAGTTCATAGTGTCTTTTTTTTTTAAGCTCTTTATCTCTGTTGGCAAATTTGATCCTTACAACCCCATGATTAACATTATTATTTCTACTTTACAGATTAGGAGGTTTTAAGAGGTTAAGTAATTTCACTAAGGTCACACAGCCTTGTGGGTGGGAGGGCTGGAGTATGGACCCAGGCTCGAGGTAACTTCTGACTTCTGTTTCTCAGTCTTGGAGTAGCTAGCTTTTACTTACCTCTGATAGTTTACAGAGCTTTCTCCTAGTCTCATCAGCTACAGTTAGCATTTTTCACCCCCACTGGAAGTTCCTCTGAGCTCTGTGTGGTGCTCTGGCATGCAGGTGCTCATCTATTCATCTTTCTCCAGCCTGTGCAACTTGTAAGCACATCCTCCTCTTTCCTCTGCTATGGTGAGGTCTCAGGTGAAAAGAATTGAGTCTGCTTAAGGATAACAGGACGTTTACCTTGTACAGGAGAGGGAAGGCATTTCCTCTTCTTTTGCTTTCAACTGCCGCACTGTGGTCCAGAGGGGAGTCCAACATAGGAATCAGTCTGGTGGAGGGAACAGGATGGGATGACTCCCTACGCTGTGGTAAGTTTTGGGAACACATTATTAAAAACAACTGTAGTAATATTAGCACTCAACATTAGTGCCCTAGAGTCTTAGATATACTGGCCTTTTCATGTCTACTTCTATCTTATTGAATAAGAAACCGTGTAATGAAGACTTTGTTCTATTTAATTACATTCATTCAATGAATAACCATTGGGTATAATCCTATTTGGTATCCAGTGGTTTTGAATCACAAGACAAAGTCTTTAATGTGGGAGAATACTGAGAATAAACAAACAAGATCTTATTAGGTAGTCCTAAATATTATAATGAAAACAAAATAGGATGATGTTATAAAGAGAGCCAGGAGCACTTTGAATAGGATGCTTATGGGAGCTTTTGGTGTCCCCGAGAAGGCTGGGTCTCTGAAACAGACCTTTGCTGTGGTTCCCTACCCTTGCCGGACAACTGATCTGCTACGATTACTCTAGTGCTGAGAAAGGAGTTGCTTCCATTTTCTGTTCTTATTAGATGGCTGTGAATCCTCAGTAAATATGAAATGATGAAAAATATTGTAAGAGGAACAATGAAGACAAGACACAACAAGCAAAATGCTTGAGCATGAATATGAATGACTGAAAATCAAAAGACCTGCATCTGCATTTTATAACACATATTTATGCTGCTTGAATATTTAGTTCTGGTATATTTCTTAAGGAAGATGCTCACTTTCAAAGCTAATAGTCCTTTGTCCCATCTTAAAAATTAAGAATAGATTTATTGTGATTTATTCTCTCCTTAAAGAGGCACATCTGCTTCTTCGGTTCTTGTTGAGCGTGAGGACTATGACTATATGTATCAATGCAAGACACTATTTATTTGTTTCTGTTTGTTTGCTTTCTGTCTCCTTCAACTAGACTATAAACTCTGCAAGGGAAGAGACTATGTTTCACATCATATCATTTCTCTGCACCTAGAGCAGTGTCTGACACAGAGTAGGAGCTCAATAAATATTTGTTGACTGAACAGTGAAAAAGACTCTACCTGCCTCCATGGCTCTCATGGGGTCCCACTCAGGGTGGTATAAATCCAGGGGAGAAGATATCTTTAACTATAATATTTGGGTTGTGGGGATAGCTATTGATGGAAAGAGACTCAGACTTGGGTAGGCTGACTTGAGTTGCATTTCAGCTTTGGTGTTTATTAGCTGTGTGTATCTTGAGGGAAATTACTTAACCTTGTTTGCCCATCTATGAAACAGAGTAACTTGCACAGAGGGCAGAGGAGCTAATGTATGTGAAAGGGTGGAGAAAATTTTCAGTAAATATTGAGGACCCAAAATATGCAGATAAACGTGGTAAATGTAACCATAAAAGGTTAGGATTTAAACTAAAGAGGTGGGAATAAAAAATATCATCTGGGCAACAGCAACAAAATTAATGACAGACTGGATGAGAAGAATCAAAAAGGAAAACTTTGCCATGACTTTCTTCCCAAACCTCTAAAAAGGGCTGAGTACAGAGAACTCTCCTTTACAACTCCATCAAATTCTCAGGATCTGAAAGTAAGACAAATAAATGTGGAAGCATCCACGAGGGGGTCTTGTGAAGTAAATTCTTGAGTTGAATGAGTCAGTATAGGTAAGTTAGGGCAAACCAACCATGCTCTGATAAAATATGGCCTCCAGATACTAGTAGCCCTTCAATTAAATGTGCCATCACGCATAGGAAGTCAGAAAGGTTGCCAAGGTTTCTTGTTAGGTTATTAGACAAAAGATGGCAAAGTGCTTCATAAAGTTGATATTTCATTGTTTTTAATTTGAGAAGATTTTTCCTGTCAAATAACACTATTATGTTTAGCTACTATTTTGCTTTTATTTAAAAATGATTTGTATTTGATTTTAAGGGATTTAAAAAAGAACCCATTGTTGAAATTAGTTGTGTGTTAGAGTCATATACAGATATTTCCTAGATTGCACTGGTTGAAAATGAGATCATTTGTAATTAAGAGATGATAGAGAATATGTTGTAGAAATCATTTATGTAAAACCTTGGCCAACAGAAACGTCTAGTAAGTGAATCTGCACCCACCCCCCCACCGCCGCCCTTAGTCACTACCAAAGTGCTTTGCTAAGTAAGATTGACTATAGGTGTCATCATTTTAAGATTAATTACTAAAGACCTTTGATGGAGTCTATATTGGTGGAAAAGTTAACCATTATTCTGAAGTTAATTTTGCATTGAAAGAATCATATACGATAATTGTGAATGGGGAGATCTGAGTTCCTGTTTCAGTGTCTGGCACAAAATTGATTTGCAATAAATGTTTTCTTGGGGCTGAATCTTTCACGAGTGATTTCACATTTTTATAGAGAAAAATTTACTCTCAGCTCTTATAAGCAACCTTTTCTACTTGAAGCACAGTGCACACAGCTGTGTCCTTTTGAGGGCCACTGTCTATACTTTCTCCTGGCATATAATGCTCTCCCACATTGAAATGTATTTTAAGTTTGCTTCTCAAAGACTTGAGTGTTACATTTGTGAAACTTGCCCAGACCTTCCCGTATCAGCATTCACCTGAAGCTGAATTCATGTATGTGTGTGTCTGTCTTCTGTCTGCATATTTTAATTTGGATTTTCCTTTTTCTCTAATTCTTTCCTTCCCCATTTTGTACTTTGACTTCGATGAGGTCCCCAAAAAGTGTTGTGCCCTTAAGTTTTTGGCCAACCATGCCAATTCTATGGCATGAAGGAGAAGGAAAAGCCCGGGAGGTGGCTCAAGAGAAGAGCCAGCTCCGAAAGGAAATGAAGTCAGAGTCTCTGAGCTGACTCTGAACTGTAGGCTCAGGCAGGACTGGGAATCCTTGAATAATCATGTATTTTTAAAAACAAGATCATGGTATAGAAATTGTTTTGTGATTTGAGGTTCTTAGTTATTATATAATAAGCATCATTCTATGTGATTAGTAGTCTTCAAAAGCATCTTTCATACAGCGGAGCATTCTCTTGTCTGTTCCATAATATTTTAAACCAATTCCCTTTGTTGAATGTCTAGGTGATCGCTGTCTTTTAAAAATTATAAACTGTGCAAAGATGAAGATCCCTGTAGATAAAGCCAAGTTCATAACCGTGATTATTTCCTTATGAGAAATTTTTAGAAATATTACAGTGTCAAAGGATATGCATATTTAAAATACTTTTTGATAGATATTGCCCTGCGCAGCTGTGATCCAGAGCAGTGACTGCCCGCTGGCTAGTGTGAGTATGAGTGTACTTTTCCACACATTTGCCCAGTACTCAGATGCTATCCCTTTGTGAATATCAGCAGCCTGATTTTGCTTTCTTTTAAAAAAATTATTTTCATACAATTTTTAAGGGTTACACTCTGTTTACAGTTATTACAAAATATTGGCTCTGTTCCCCGTGTTGTACAACACATCCTTGAGTTTACCTTACATGCGATAGTTTGTACCTCTGACTCTCCCACACCTTTATTGCCCCCTTTTCCCACTGATAACCACTAGTTTGTTCTCTGTATCTGTGAGTCTGCTTCTTTTTTATATTCACTAGTTTGTTGTATTTGTTAGATTCTACATATAGTGATATCATACAGCATTTGTCTTTCTCTGTCTGACTTATTCTATTTAGCATAATGCCCTCCAGGTCCATCCACGTTGCTGCAAATGGCAAAATTTCATTCTTTTTTATTATTGAGTGATACTTCACTGCGTATGTATACACCACATCTTCTTTATCCATTCATCTGTCAGTGACACTTAGATTGCTTCCATGTCTTGGAAGCTGTAAATAATGCTGCTATGTATGTGTCTTATTGTACATCTATAATCATTCTGACTTAACAGGATGTATTTTATTGCATGAACATGTTAGTCTATCATATCAAATGAGTTTGTAAACATGTAATTCTGACGTGTCTTCTCCTAAACATAATTATCTTGACTTCCCAGGTGCCTGCATGAACATCACCCACAGCCAGTGTCAGATGCTGCCCTACCACACCACGCTGACACCTCTCCTCTCAATTGTCAAAAACATGGAAATGGAGAAGTTCCTCAAGTTCTTCACGTACCTCCATCGCCTCGGTTGCTATCAACACATCATGCTTTTTGGCTGCATCCTTGCCTTTCCCAAGTGCATCGATGATGGTGATGACAGGTATTTTGGAACCAAAAACATTCAGTGATAAGGGTTAGTGATAGCAGAAGTGTCTGAGAGGAACGGAAATCATCCCTCTCTACTCTCTTTTGTTTTTGTTGTTGTTAAAGGAGAAAAAAAAAATCCCACACAAATCATAGCCAGTTGTAATTCTTTTAAAGTAGACATTTTTGAAAAACCTGAAATAATTTTATTTATGGGAAGAAATTATTCAGGATGTTAGATGGAAGTCATCAGCTGGAATACTCAATAGCTGTTTTGTGAGGGGCTGGCTGAAGCAGCACAAAGGGCGATCGAAAAGAGTTTATTGAGGAGGTGATTTATGGAGGTGTGGGCAGGGTTAAGACAACAAGCAAGTGATTAGAGGCTCCAGGGTCTCATGATGGGGGATGCAGTTCCACCACTCCAGACTTGAAGGGGGCAAAGAGCAGGCAGACCTGGAGAGAGCTGAGGCTGTGAGCAAAGAGGTCTCCCAGGAAGCCAAGTGCTGTGACCCAAGATGTGGACGCATAGACAGCGCCAGCCCTTCAGTCCTTCAGGAAGAGAGAAGAAGGAGTAAATGCCCTGGCCTCACTCCCCGCCCACCCTCCCATCTGCCAGGGCCTCCCACCAACTGAACTCACCTGTGACCACTGGGCAAGGGTGTGCAATTGACATGAGTATAATTGATAAGATGGAAAATTTCATCTCAGTATCACCAGCTCAGAAAGTCCCAAATCTCCTTATCTAAATCAGGTATGGGTGAGATGTTGGTTGGTTCTTATGGTCAACACTGGAACCCAGAGCAGAGTGAGGAGAGCGAAGAAGGGTAGATGTGGAAGGACAAACAGAAACTGTCCAGTACAATGTTGAACAGGATAAGAAAGAATTTTCTTCTTTGAGGCGTGAGGGAGAATATGTGAGTGAACATGCTTGTGTATGTGTCTTGTAAGCACATGTCATTTTTTAATTGAGATATAATTGACATATAACATATTAGTTCCAGGTGTACAGCATAGTGATTCAATACATGTATATGTTGTGAGATGATCATCACAGTAAGTCTCGTTAACATCCATCATGACACATAGTTAACAGATTTTTTTTTCTGATGATGAGAACTTTTAAGATCTACTCTGTTAGCAACTTTCAAATATGCAGTACAGTATTAACTATAGTCACCAGGTTGTACATTACTTATTTATGTATTTTATAACTGGAAGTTTGTACCTTTTAACCACCTTCACCTTATTGAAATAATATTGAAAATCACTATTTAATATTGAAATTATAGGAGTCAATTAATGAAAAGTATATTATGGGATATTTCAGTAAACATTTTAAAAAATGTTCAAGGCATGTATTAAATACATCATCATATATAGCCTCAATTATTTTCTGAATCAAAATGTTGGAAAGTTTTCAGAATAGTAATTAGAGAATGAATTGCATTTTTAAGTGCAAGTAGGTTCCATGTTATTTGTACTAATTTAATGTATAAAATATGTTTTGACTAGATCAAAGGCATTTATTATTTTAACTAGGAAAAGACTGCATTGCCATAAAATAAAAACTGAGTAGAAGAGAAACAGTAGATTATGAATTTCAGAAATAAGTAAATTCCTATTAACAGGCACAGCATTCAGGAAAGTGTTTCCCCTGAAAGAATCATTTGTGGAGGGTCCTTTCATGGTAAAAAGAGAGAGGAACTCTGCTAGGTCTTTCCCATGAATTAAGCTATGGGATGGTAGTAGAAATGCCCTTTATGTTCCTAGAATGGCAGCATTATAATGTGGTGGTTGTCCTAATTTTCAGGTCTGCTGTAACAAATTACTAGAAGCTGGATAGCTGAAAGAGAAATTTGTTCTCTCACAGTTCTATAAGCTGACAGTCCAAAATCTGGAAGGGCCACGCTCCCTCTGGGGTTCTAGGGAGAAAGCTCATTTCCCTTCTTGGCCAGTTTCTGGTGGTTTCAGGCATTCCCTGACTTGTGGCCACATCATTCCCATCTCTGCCTCCATCTTCACATTGCCTTCTCCTCGGTCTGTGTCTGCTCTTGTGAGGACACTTGTTCCTGGATTTAGGGCCCATTCAGATGAACCAAGATGAACTCATCCTCTCAAGGTCCTTAACTTAATTACATCCACAAAGACTATTTTTTCCAAATGAGTCACATTCACAGGTTCCCGAGGTTCAGGTGTGGATGTATCCCTTGGGGACGACTATTCACCACACTGCCGTGGCTGAGAAAGCAGGAGCCACGTGTCTCAGCCCTCTCCTTGGTACAATGGAGATAATAGGTGTACTTACAAAGCTCACGTGAGAACTGAATGATGGAGAGAGCTTGGAACAGTGCCTGGCTTTTATGAAGAGCTCAATAAATGTCAGCAACGGCTGTTAGTGGGTTGTGAAGGAGAGGCAGTGCTCATGACATTGAGAGCACGAAGAGTCTTCCTACCATGTGCTAGATATTGGAGGATTGTCCCCAGAATGTGGGGTGCTTTATGGATCAAAAGAAAATTAGGCCAAATACTCAAGGCTGCTGGAATTGGATTCTAATTCCACTTCTCCATGGTTTCAAACAATTTCACTTACATCTCCTTGCTGTAATTTCTCTGTGGACTCATGTGTGTGCATAAATAAGACAATGAAAGAGAGTGCATTCAGCCTCCAGGAGGCTCTGAACTCAGAGTGATCATCCTTCTTATTATAAGGATGATCTTATTATAAGGATGGAATTATTCTTATTATAATTCCATCTCTACTCTCAGCTCAGTCAGTTGTAAAATTCTAGTTTAAGTAGCTCATAGTCTTCTGGGTACTTTTAGGTAAAATTTGTTTTTCTCCTGACCTGGTTCATCCTGAGAAATGCTCTCATATGAGAATTTTCCATTTTCTGTTATAATGGATAATAATTTATAGTCAGTCTTCAGGTCTCCTTTGGGGAACTTATCCTACTTTTTATTCCATTTATTTCTATATTTGATTTTATAATTATACTTTCAGACCAGTTCTTCCTGCTGTCATTTAGTGTGTGCATAAAACCTGCAAGCTAAATTTAATAAGCAAAATAAGTTCTGAATGGTAAAATGTATTGTAGAAAATAACCCTAAAGTCAAACATATTTTTCTTATATTTCACTATTTTGGATCATCTATTTTATTAATTTTCTCTACTAGTCAAGTAATAGAGAATTGCTTATATTCCATCCTAGAGAAAAGAGGTACTTAATAACATTTAGAATTTAATTTAAAAAGATCTAAAACAACAGGGTCCCACTGTATTGCACAGGGAACCATATCCAATATTTTGTAATAACCTATAATGAAAAAGAATATGACAAAAAATATAAAATGCCTAACTGAATCACTATGCTAGACACCAGAAACTAACACAACATTGCAAATCAGTTATACTTCAATTAAAAAATAGGTCTATACTCAACTATATTGTACAACAATAACCTTTAGTAGTTTAATTAAACAGATTCATTAATAGCATCAATTTTAAAAAAATAGATAAGTGTGTGTATCATGGACTATAACACAGGGTAATTAAAGTGAAGTATAATTTATATGGATTCAGTGACATATATCTCAAAATACAGAGATTGAGCTGAGAAACAGTTGAGGTAGCCCTAAAATTATGTGGGTGAGAAAGAATAGCTTAAAAATAATGACAAGTAGGTAGAGAGAAAAGAGCATTTCCTGGGCCAGGAGAATCACAGTGGTTTCTGGATGGCTTTTTGATATACTTAAAGTCTCTGTGTTTGGAGGAGGAAGCAGTATCGCAGCTCCATGCCTTTCCTATGTCGCTATCACCCTTTCCCTCCTGGCTGCAATAATCAGCCTATAATAACCTCATGGAAGCAGAAGTGGGGTTCATTGACCTGAAAGGTCCAGCCTTGGCTTTGCTGCTAAAAGACACCCAGGAGCTCCTGCTGATTGTCATCACCCCACTCACATCCTCTTAATACTTTGCAGAGAAACTTTGCTCATGAAGTAAGTCTTTAACATTAAAAAAAAGACATGTTTGCTACCTGTTCTTTTACTCTGGAGTGTTGATTTGCCACTAGGTCCTTAGCAGAATTCTTAACATCTGTGGAAATGAAATAAAGATTCTTATCTTGTGCTTGCTTCGGCACTAAAGTATACTAATTTGGAACCATACATCAAAGATTAACATGATCCCTGTGAAAGGATGACATGCATATTTGTGAAGTATTTCATATTTTTTTATTTTTTTGATTCAGGTAGCTCATATAAAACATTTAGCACAATACGTGGATCATTGTGTCCCAATCAAAGTTTCACTAATACTGCTATTTTGGGGCCAATATTTTTCATACCAGACCTAATTGAACTCATCCAAAAAATATAGGATGTGTCAGGTTCTGTTATCCACATTTTAGTCAAGAAAATAAATAACTTATCTGAAAAAAACTTTAACTAGCCAAATGACTAGAGGTTAAAGATTATTTCTTAAATTTGGGGGCTACAGGATGGTTTTCCGTCAGGTACTCAATCCCTATAGGATTGTGGAAGGGCTCAGGTGAGTTTCCTCAAATGAGCATCTTCAAAAATATGCTAATTTTTCCCAAAGAAGTATGACTACTGGAGATTAGAGAATTTAATCTGGCAAGTGCAGAGAATGCTTTTGAAAGTTTGGGGCAGATGAAACCTGATTCAAACTGCAGCTCTGCCAGTTGCCAGGTATAAGACCTTAGGCACTTCAGTTAGCCTTTCTGACTTTCAGTTTCCTTACTGTTTAATGAAAGTGATAATACTCACTTCATAGGGTTTATGTGTGTGTATTAAACAGAATGACTTATATAAAGTGCTCCTACATGATCTACACTGTCTGGCACATAGTAACTTCTCCATAAATAGTACTATTATTAAATAATAAGGAATTTATTATTATTAAATGTAAATAGTACCATTATTGACATGGTAGTCAAAGATGGGGTATGAGTTTCTGGGAGGGTGTAGACTTTATCACCTCTTTCAGAGATGCAGGAT